TTGTTATATCACTGTTTTATATCAAAAATATTCTGACGCTTTTCTTTTAGTAGTATAGAGTATAATTCTACCTATGACAGATTCTGCTTCCTCACTAGAGAACCTGTGCCACTGTTTGGCCCCTCTTCAAATACAGGAGATTCCGTTTTCTCTTGCTGAACATCAGGAGTTTCCTCTGCTGAATTCTCTAGCTTGTTACAATCCTGCTGGATCATGGAAAAACTCTGTAGTACATTAGCCCCTCTTTCCATTTTGGAGCATCTATAGACATGCTGAGGATGCACTCTATCCCACACTCCAACCACAAATAAAGGTGTTGAAAAAATTAGACACGATTCATCAGTCTTTTCTGGGTATGATGCTCCTGTATCAATGACATGTACGCTTCACTTTTATGTATGAGTTCTGTTAGGTGTTACTTGCTCATTCGCGGTGCCTCCTTCTAACCTTTCATGAATTTCTTCTTGTTGAGATAGAAATTGGAGGAGGTGTTCTTCAAATATCAACCACCTCTGCTGTTTCCCTCTTCAATCAATCAATGAAATGATGAAAACAAAGCAGGTAATCGTGCCTACTCTTCTAGCTCGCTTAAAAACCATTCACGTGAATAAAATGGAAATAAGTGGGAGTTGTTCTTCCACGTCTACCTAGAACTATCAATCTAGTTAATAGGCAAGAGTAGAGCAAACAATTACCAAGTCATACCAGCTGTTACTTTGTGACCAAGTATGAACAGAAATTCAGCTGCATCTTGACATGTCATGGAGACCTTCAAACACATTCATTTTGATGGACTTAATTATCACCAAGACCTATTCAGGTTAGAAAGTTAGTCTGTGTCTCAAAGTAAATTGTTTAATGGTATTTATAACAAGGAAAGTTGCTTTACTTTCCTCATCCATACTTTATGTTTTGCAAATAGATCTGGAAGTATTTCTATGGCTGAAATTTTTTCTTTTTTCTTTTTTTTTTCCATGTCAAACAGAAGAAATTCTAATGGTTGTAAGGAAATTGTTGAAAACACTAATTTCTTAAAACTGGTTGATAGAACCTCTCTGCAGACATATATATATATATATTTAATGAATACTGCAGAAATGGATTGTAAGAGAAGGATAGATAATATGATGTGGATAAAAGTGGAATTTATAGATACTGCTGATGATCAGAAAATGAAAGGGTTGGTAATAGCAATTAATGATTGTGAAGTCTGCTACTAAGTTTTATAAGATGTTAAAACTGTGTCTGAAAACAGGAGAAGATTAAAATACTTATTGATTGGCTGATGAGCAAATGGTAAGGTTTAAAAGCAAAGAATTGATGAATATACATTGTGTTAATTAAACTCACCACTATGAATAAACAAAGGCTGATACCCCGTATTCTGCAAATTTCTGAATTGATTCCAGATTGAGAGGACTTCAAAGATCTTCAAAGATGATGTCTTATAAATCAGAAATCACCTTCAGAAGGTTCTTTTTTCCATAGTATAGGGATGCTGCAAGAAACATTTTCTGCTGCATGATTTTCACTTTGTTTTTCTACTGATTTAGTAGGCTCCAAAACAGAAAGACTTAATCACTAGTAAGTAGTCAAAGAAGTGCATCAATTTAAACAGCTCTTAATAACAGCTCTTAATAATGAACAATAATAAACAATTATAAAATATTATAATTAAACCATCTGTGATGGAATGAGCCTGGTCATATTAAGAATGGGAAGTAGGAATGGCACTTAGGAAGGAGGACTAGAAAACTGTATGGAAACTAAAGCGATGTATCTCCTGTGTGAAATCCTGACACTACCAAAGGCAAGAGGAAATTCTGGCTTTTTATTTCACCAACAGAATCATAAAATAATAGAATGGCTTGGGTTGGAAAAGACCTCAAGCAGCTGAACGCACAGAAAGTTTTCTGCTGGCAAAAACAGATACAAAAAAAGCTGAGTACTGAACAAGATTTTACCTCTGTCCTCACTGGCAGTCAGGTCTCCCATATCTCTCAAATCCTTGAACTTCTAGAGGGAGACTGGGAGAATCAAACTCCCTCTCACTGTAAGCAAAGAGCAAGTCTGAGACTACGTGATGAAAGAAAATATGTACAAGTCAAGGAGGTGATTTGAGGTAGCCAGAGTGGTTTCACCAAGGGCTGATCGTGCCTCGCCAATCTGATGGCTTCTACAGTGGAATGACAGCATCAGTGAGCAAAGAAAGAGCAACTGATGTTTTCCACCTAGACTTGTGCAGGGTCTTTGATGTGACCCCACAGCCCAGTTTTTCTGTCAGCTGGTGAGATATGGATGTGAAAAGTGGACTATTCAGTGGCGAAAGACTTGGATGGATGATGGCACCAGAGGGTTGTGGTTGGTGGGTCTATGTGCAGGGGGAAACTGGTGATGAGTGCTATACTTCTGGGGTCCATCGTGGGACCAGTGCTCTTCAGCATCTTTATCAACAACCTAGACAGTGAGACTGAGTGCATTCTCAGTGTATTTGCTGATGATACCAAACTGAGTGGTACAGCAGAGACAACTGGAAGAAGAGATGTCGTCCAGATGGACATGGGTAGCTTGAGAAGTGCACCCACATGAATCCAGTGATGTTCAGCAGGGCCAAGAATGCCCCATCCTTGGAGGTATTCCTGGCCACATTTTTAATAAACCATGGATCCTGGGCAGCCTGACTGGCAATCCATCCAAATTATAAGGGGTGTGGAGCTAGAAGTTATCTCAGGTCCCTTGCAGCTCAGTTCATTCTGTGATTCTGATATTCTCTGATTATTCTGAAGTGCTGACTCTCCTATGCAGAATGTTATTGCTCTGGTACTGATGAAGCTGAAACAGACTGACACCACTGAGAACTGCTATCTGTTTTTTGCATTCCTATCACATATTCAGACGGCACTGCTATGTCATCTACAATCTTTTTCACTCGCTTTGCTTCATTCCTATCTGGTGCCCTTATTAGAGTTTTCAATTGATTTCTGCTACTGCGTCACGCAGTCAATTGTAACACTATGCAGTGCAAGGTTTAAGGGGGAAAAAAAAGCTGCTGCGGCTGCTACATGGTTTGCCTGTAAGTTGTTCAGGATTCCCTGCTGTTTGTTTTCATATAAGGATCAACACAGTTCGCAGCAAAGTTGCTGTGATAGGATTACTATGGAGATTTCTTTCTGTTTCTCTTGCCCAACCTTCCTCAAAGAGTGAGAAAGTTTATTATTACACTGTTTTTAGTAATTATCACTGCTCTGCATTATGTCAAGTATATCAGACAGGAGAGGTCTCTCTTCAATTATGTATTTCCAGTAGCACCTTATAACAAATTAACAACCTCATCACATAAGACAATTGAGTAGTTCAGCACATTTCTTTACTGTAGCAAGTTGTACTGTCTCTTGCTTTTCACCTGAAGAGTCTACTATTTCAGTGGAGGAAGTGAAATATTAAAATTCGTAATTTACAGTAATAAGATGAGGATCAGAGAGCGTTGTAACTGCCCTTAGAATGCCTCTTCCAACCTGCAAACTATATTGATTGCAAAACTTATTTCTGTTCATGAGAACAGCCCCTTTTTCTTTAGTGGTGCCATGAACAGAAAGCCAAATTCCTGGCATAAATTAGTTAGAATTTGTAAAACATCTTAATTCTCCTCTTTTTAAAAGTAGCTTTATAAAGAAAGGTATTAGGATCACTGCTGATGTATTTCTAGTTGAGTTAGTTTGTTATGATGACTGTTAGGAGGCATGGGTGGGTTATACATGTGTAATCTGACTTTTGTGACAAACTGCTTGAAGATGATGACTGAATAAATATTTTTGAAAATGAGCAAAGTGCATTTACTTACCCGTTAAATTTACTTATAGAATTGGCACTAGTTCTCCTTTTTTGTTTATTTTCCTCATTCTGCCATATTGAGAAGTGGCCCATGCTGATGGTATCTGACAACACCTCCATCCCCCTCTGTTCTGAAAACACGCTACAGCTTGTCTCTTTTGAGTTGTTCAGATGTATTGTATTCAAATATCACTTTTGCTAAACCTATATACTGGCAGCACATAAGATTAATGCAGTGAATAATAAGGAGTACTTAGAATGAAATCACTAAAACTGAACAGGAGTATTAAAAAGAGGCAGAAACAGAAACAGAAAAAAAAAAAAAACAACCAAACAAAAACAGAGTTTACAATTGGTTTATTTCCTTACTGGACCCTTAGCACTAGATCCCATTGTCTGCAGGAAGAATAAGGAAAGAAGACCTGCAGGTTTTTGCTCAATTGCACTACGTGTCCCTGCAGATACGCAGTACATTTATTGATTGTCTGTCTGAAGACTTGACTTGCAGGTATCCAGCTCTATTTTTGCTTTTCAGTGCCGGACTTGTCAGTCCAGCATATTTTTGTTTCTGAGGGCTGGAAGATGCATTTTGCTATCTATTATTTCCACACAGAAACCAACCACATCAGTGGGCAGACCTGATGGACATTCAAAGCATGTTGTTTTTCTGGCAGAATACCACAGCTAGCCATGTGGATTGTGGGCTGAAGAAGATATCCCTAAAGGAAACCAGATACTAACCTGCTACAAGCGTTATCATTTGACACTGGAGTGAGGTGATGTTGGGGTAGAAAGTATTTTTCTACTAGGAAAATCAAAAAGAATGAGTTTCTAAAATTGTACTGGGACAATTCAGTACATCTTTTTGACTTGTGGCAGCTAGATTTCTATAGCATTGAACATAACACAACTATGTGTTTGCATACACAAGATGATGACAAGATGCCCCACAGTGCCTGTCAGGGTTTTGCTGATAAGGTTTTAAGCCCATTCCTCTTACAACAGAAAACACAGCAGAAATTTTCAACTGTACAACTCTTTTTCTCCGTTTCCCTTCTGGTCACATACATGTAAGCTTCTGTTGCTGTAAAACCTGTTGTGCTTTTCAGTTCTAATGTAAGAAGTAGCCTGTTTAACCAGACTGTTCTTGCTGTATACTTTTTTTCCCAGAAATGTTCTGATTTAGTATCTGTTCTTACACATGCAGAAGAAGGAGAACAACTGTGCTGTAAAAAAAGGACAATTACCAGTTGAAAGGAGAGGGAGGTGAGAAATTTTATTTTCACTATCAGAATAGAAAAAAAAAACTATAAAAATATGATATTATATTTTCTTCCTTAATTTTACTTCTTGAGTTTCTTCTTCTCCCTCAGCTGCAGCTAGTAACACAGAGTATTTCCAGACACATCAAATGCATCAGTAAGTGGAAGCCAAGGCATAAACCAAAATTTTGAGCTTTCTCTCATGAATGTGTCCATTTCTCCAGAGGTGCTTAAGAAACAACCCTCTGCAGTAGATACTCTTTCCCATCCCAGGTGAGCTCGTTGCAACCTCTCCAAGAGGCATAGCCTCTCTCAGCCACTTCAGTAGCAGAGATGATGTTTTAGCGGTAGGGCTGCTTGGAATACCACTGGTCCTGGCCCTTTTTGAGAAGCAGACACACAGAATGTGTTCTTTGCCATTATTTTCCAAAGAGGAACTGTATAGCGACTGAGTATTGTAGAGCCGCATGTGAGCTATGACAATTTAATGTTTCTACTGCAGTAAATTTTAAGCAGGCTGACACGGTCTCTATTAGCAACTCCACAGCATACAGCTGATAGTGCTGACACCAAGGTTTTCACTGTGGTTCAGGAATTCAAGGCTTTCTTTTGTCAGAATGTTACAAAACCCAAGATAAGTTAATTAGTAAAACAAAAGCAGTGAAAAACTTTAAATTGCAAATACAGCGTGTCAGAGATCGTTCTAAAAACGTTTCAAATAAAAGCCCCCGCATATCAAATCCTGTGAGCCATGCAGGGCTGGGAGGTAGATTGGCATGACGGACATGTGAACCTAGCCTCTGTGTGCCAGATATGTGAAAACACAGGTGTCAGCCCGTGATGGCAGGCTGGGAGCGTTCCCCCGGGGCATTCCGCCCATGGGGGCGAGTGCCAGGGCAGGCCGAGGCTGCTTGGTCTGGTGAAAGAGGCCTCACGCAGAGCTCTGCCTGAGGTGCCTGCACAGCCCCGCGTGGTGGGTCCTCCAGCCCCGTGCAAGCAGATGTCCATGGGATGATTCATGAAACTGTAATTACGCACAATAAGTGCAAATGTTTAATTAATCAGGTCTCGTGTCCTTGTTATCCCCTCGCTGGGTTTCACTAATAATGACCCAGAGGAAAATTCTGCTCCTTGTCTGCGAATTATATTTTATTTACAAGGGCTTCATTTCTTAGGCGATTTTTCTCTCTCGTTCCTGGGTAGGACTGCCAACAAGAAAATAAAATTCTGATGGCCTTTAAAAGTAAAACTTGTGACTGGCCTGAAATTCAAAGCCAGGGCGATCTTTGTGTTACCTCACACAATTTCTTTAGCAGAATAAATTAGAATAACTTAGCACTTAATACCTCTCTTACCTCACATTCACAGAATGCACAAATATTTGGCTGCATTTCTCTCGTCAAAGCTAGAAAGGAAATAAAAGAGGTCTTGGAGGAAGACTGCTGTAGAAGAGGAAGGAAATTAAGCCCTTCAAGCTGGTTTGTAATCCAAAGAAGGGTTAAGTGATGGAAGGATGGCTGGGTGCTCAGGCCCTGTCTCAGTGATGCCTCTACCACCTCACAGCTGGTCTCTGGAAGGAAAGTGTTAAAAAGGATATTGTTTGCATTAAGGGGCTGAATTTTCCACTGGGTAATCATCAGTGAAACCCAGTGAAGGGCAAATGAGGATGGTAGGCCTGATTAATTAAACATGTACTACTGTGCTAAGAGCAAGATTTATGCTATTGGTTTTATCAGCGTCATTGATATTAATACTGTGGGTAGAAATTTTGGGCTATTGTTTACTGTTTTCATTTTTCACTGCAAAACTGCTGTTAAAAGCATGAATGAGGGATTGTGGAGTACTGCTGCAATGTTGTGATTTCTCTCCTGGCTGTTCCTTTTGCTGCACAGAAGGCTACTTGCAGTGCCGTTCTTTTCAGTAGTGTTCTTTTATACTACTTTTATTAAAATCTCCAATTCTGTAGGCTGAAAAAGACAAATGCCATTACAGAATAAAACTGGGGGAGTTAACAACTCTAAGCCAAAGAAGGCTTTTATGGAGGTGCTAAATATTTTCATCACTTCCAGATGGATGTGCAGCATGTTCAAGATACATACATTTCATAATAGGTTAGTACATTAGAAGTGGAATGCCCTTATCTGATAAAAACTATTTCAGAAAAGGTTTTGTAGGTATTTCTGACTTTGCTCATTTATATGCCACAGGAAACGTAGCAGCAAAATCTGAAGTGTGGAATGTGAATATGTGTCTTGGGGTGGATGAGGGGTGTCTATTACAAATAAGCTTGCTGGCTTCGTGGAGAACATGAGTGGCAGCCAACCAGTTCAGTATCAGCTCAGCTTTTATTTTCCTGATAATGCATTCATATATTTACTTTTCCCATTAGACTAACATGGAACATTTTGTTGGAATGATTCCTCTTCCTCTGGGATGTGTTTTTTCCTTTCTTTACAAGAAAGTAGTCATGTGTAGCCCAGTAAAGTCTGTAGACTTAGCAATAACTGTGCTTGGTTTCAGTACTAAAGCTTGCCAGGTTTTGTGGGGGGCCTGCCTGGATTTTTGTTTTAGTTAATTTAGCTGTAACAGCAATTTTTCCAATGATCATGTGACTCTTGTCTGATTTGTTTTACTCTTGCTTCTCTTTGTACAATCACAGAATAGTCACAATTTTATACAGACAGTATAGTTATGCAGAATGCAAAGTTTACAACTCTACTATGATGATTTCATACACAGAAATGCAGGCATGGTGTGACAGCAGAGGCCTTGCAGATGGGAACAGTACGGAGCACAGAGGTGTACAGACCTGGGATAATATGATGAAGGAAGTAGGTTGGCATTGGAGACCACAGGACTTTAAATAACATGCCAATGTCACCTAAAAGAATGCTGACTGGAAACTTGAGCACAACCAGCTATAGTAGTAATAAGCAACAGCTATCCAACAAGTGTAAAATACACCGTATAGAGCAAATTACTTCTTAACTGTTTCACGCCAGTAAAGAAGCTGGGAGCAAACTGTAGTGGTGTGTTACACAGATGCTGCTGTGGAAAGGTGAGTATAAAACCAGAGAAAGGGGAAGATAGTTTGAAGTTTCCTATAATGATTCTAAAGTGTATTTTTAAGATTTACCTTGTATTAATCAGTTCATTTGGAAGATGAGTGTCAGTACTGTTCTAGCTGTTCTACTCAGAACTATTTGTTGTTGCTTAGTTACTCTGTAGGATTTTAGTTAAACTAACTAGAAATTCTTGATTTCCCACATAAAATGTATTGCTCCTTTCTGCCATAACAAATTTTTTTAGTGTAACATCAAATTACTCATAGCAGATAAGAAATCTCTGCTCATTTGTTTTGTTAGGAATTCCTATCTCATGAGGGACAGTGCAGGATGATTTAGGTGTTACAGCAAAAAAAGCACCTGCCTTGAAATGGTAAATCAGATAGGGGTTTTCTATTGCAACACCTTTTTTGATCTGGTATCAGGTGCAGGCCCCTGTAGCCTTCTGGTTCCATAGCATTCCCCATTTTTGAGCAAAGACTTGGTGCTGTTGGTGGCTGGCTGACATGTGGTCATTCAATATTCCCTTTAGGGTAATGTCTTTATTTGTTCAGTGATATATGTATTCTCTCATGAACAACCACAATGAGAGGAAATGCATTTGGGAGGAGGACTAGCCTGAAGCCTATATTGGCAACATTGCTAGCAAACCAGAACATCATCATGCCTTATGGTCAGGAATTGAAGCAGAGGAAACGAAGTGCATCAAAGTGCCCGGTGAGTTGAAATCCTTCTTAACCTCACCAGTGCACCACTGTTCATATACTTGTAACATGCAAGATGGATTTCATCTCTCTCAAACCTTGTTCTGTCTGGCTCTGTCTGCTAGGTCGTAAGTGCAGAATTCTCATTGTCAAAGAGACTACTAGTTAGTATTAAATTAGTTGACATTTTCTGTGTGAAAAAGGATTTTTGATTAGCATGGTATGTAAGTGTGCGCTTAAAAAGTTACAAACTCAATCTACAATGTCAATTACAACATAAACTTACATTCTTCCCACAAGAAACCACATTACAGATCTGTTGTCAGCTTTGAATGTCAGTGTGAAGCAGTAATTTAACTTAATTGTATCTTGTTTTTCCTCTTAAGTATCTTTCATGTAATTGCATGACTCCAATTAATTCCTCTTACAAAGATTTTTGCCGTCAAAAGAGATGTTTCAAAAGAGCTGTGTATGTGCATATCAAACATGTAACAGTTAAATCTAATGCATGTGTTCCTTTGCTACCCAAAATTACAAACCAGACTGAAGGAGACCTCATTGACTCTCTTTACCAGGTTTATATTGACTTCTGATCAAGCACTTAGAGTGGTTACAATCAATTTTTCAGGTTTTTTTTTTTTTTGTTTGAAGTTCATTGTGTAGTCTCTCTTACAGTTCATAATCCAGAAGTACAAGAATTTCCTTATGCAAATGAATAACATGTGCATACTCCTTCACATCTGTTTGCCAATTTTCCAGGGCATACGTACATAGAAGCATTATCTAGACCGTTAACCCCTCTCCAGAAAAGTTTGTGTTTGAGATTCAAGAAAGACAAGGAACTTCTATAGAGTCCAGCTGAGAGCCACAAAGATGATTAGGGGCCTGGAGCTCCTCCCTTATGAGGAAAGGTTGAGAGACCTGAGTTTCTTCAGTTTGGAGAAGACTTCAGCAGAATCCCCCAAAGTTCTCAACAGGTGGGTGCCTTGTTGGGACTTCAGGTTACACAAGTGTGCCAATGTCCTGCTTTTGGAATTTCTAAAAGTTGTTTTTCTAACTTGGTATGTGCTATATCCAGCCTCTGTGAGCTTTGTGCTTCACCTCAGAGAAGGAAAAATTGGTCGTAGACTTCATAAATAGTCATTTTTTAAAGTGTGAATTGTCTTAACATAGTTATACTTGTTAAGTGTAAATATGATACAGTCAGAGACAATAATACATGAAGAAAAATATGTTAACGGGTTGTTTTCATAAAGCTGAAAATCATTCCAAGAGAAATCGTCTAGGAAAAGGAAATTTAACAAAAAAAAAATCAGTGATAATTGGAATTTGTTATAAAACATTTAACTAGCTGCCCAACAAACTTCCAGTTAAAGAGCCATTTTGTTTTAGATTTTTAAAATTATCACTTTATTTCTTAAACATTGGACAGAGAGGTGCAAACAAACATTTTCTTTTCCAAAGACATAAAAATTAGAAGAAATATAGAAAATAGCAGCAGTGAATAGGAGTTAAAATACAGGAAAAGCAGACGTATGATAAGAGAAGGAAAAAAATTACAAAGGGAATTTCATAGATAAAGCCATTGGAGAAAGAAAATGAGTCAACAATGACCCAACAGGAGTTAGTACTTGGTTAGGATTTATAGTGAAGAAGTCATGACTGTTTAACAGTTACTTTTGTTACAAATCTGATAGAAATCCAAAATTCTACCATATAATGCTAAATCCTTTTCAGTTCCAGTGGAAATGAAAGATGATGTTGAGAAACGTTTTTGAACATCAGACAGTTTGATCACCTACTTCAGAGAACTTTTACCAGAAAATTTTGAACAAAATGTATGAGACATTATCTGAGGCACTCACAGTGACGTCCTTCCCTAACACATCTCATACCCATGTCAAGAGACTGAAGTAAAACAAATACTAGGCCAGAACACAAAGAGGTTACTAAACCTGCTGTTTTGAATATCAGTGCCACATGAAGTAATGGAAAATCAGCATAGGCCCTAAATAGAAGGGTGGTAGTTTTGTTAATGGCAGTCACCATCGGTTAGGTTCATGTGGGGAAATAACTGGCGTATATGTGACACGTAAAAATACTGTTTGGTAAAAAGGACACATTGATGCTATAAGCTTGGAAATCCCTGGAAATAACACAATTTCTTTTGTGTTAACATACTATTTGGTTGGAAGTCTGACGTTAAATCAACATTGCACTCAGATAACAGATAAGGGGCAGGTCTCAGAAAGGTAATCTTAATTGCACCTTTTTCTCAGGCCAAAGGTGTTTGACCTGGCTTCATGCTGTTTAACATTTCTCCAAGCAATGATCATTACTGTTGCTGAAAAATGGCTAGTCATTCTGCAGGAATGGAGGAACAAGTAGCAGAGTTTGTTATTTGTTACAGTCAGGATGCATGGAAACAGTATGCATTTCTGTAACTTACTGAGTTAAAGTTGTTGTCGTGGTTAAGGGACTTTATCTTGAAAAACAAAAAAAATAGTGAATTGCTGTTGTCATGAGTGAAGAGAGGTGTGCTATCTATGCCCACCACTCACAGGCGTGACACTCAGCTTGTAGCACTGGCCATCACTGTGTTTTGGTCTAAGAGAATGGAGAGGGGTCAGGGCAAGGTCTCAGGGTGATGCCAGTCTCTGAAGGTGAGCTGCAATCTGGAATGGTGTGCAGGTTATTCTGAAGGATTCTCTATTAGCCAAATACCTAGCAGGATTCACAGACAGGGAATGGAAGTTAGACTCTGCCTGAGATGAAAACAGTTCTTAAAAGTGATAGTCACCGAAGCAACAGGGTCCATGATTTCAACACAGTAAGAATAACCACAGTCAGTAATCATAATAAGTATGTACATTTTTTCTGTAATTATTATTAGTTCTTCTGTAATTATAGAGAATGCATTCGTCAGAAGCAGATTTCTTAGGGGAAGTCATTGTCTTCTGTTATGGTAAGTCCATTCTGACATTAAACACTAATGATCTATTCACAGAGGCTGAAGTCAATACTTAGACATATCAATAATAGGCCTGACTTTTCAAAATTATTCATTTGGTTTTGTTAGCCTCAACTTCTGTTTGTTATATTATTTCACATTGGTTACTTGTATTTAAAAAAGAGGAGGAATCAGTTGTTTTTGTTTACTGAACAAATATTATTCGTCATCATAAAGATACAGAATTCTTTAACATAGGATTGCAAAGTATGTCTTTCTTAAAGCATATGTATGCAAAAGGGAAACTTAAAATCATATTTTGAATGCAATTCTAATGTTCTCTCAGATGAAAATAGAAGTGTTACACTGGTTTCTGTCAACTGAAGATTTGGCCTGCTAAGGCTGTGTCCCTTCCCAGTGACTTTTTATTAACCAACTATTTACTCATTTTTCCTACAAATCCTATATTTTCTAAGCAAAGAGATTCACTCTGCTTTCATTTCAGGCTTCTTTTCCTATAGGAAATTTTATTCTAAACAAAACAAAACAGAACAAAAAAGGCAAAATATCTGAAAAATAAACAATTTCCTGGTGTAAAACCTATCACTGTATTATGGAGGTATTTTTCTATACAATGTACAGTTATTGCTTTTTAATCTGTCAATCTTTAAATCAAGGTTCATTTCTAAACAATTTCTATGTAAATGACTGCTGAAGAAAACACAGAAGAATAAAAGCCAGAATAAAATCTGGAATATGAGTATGTAGAAATATAAATAAACAAATGTTAAAGCAAGATATGGGAGAAACTCTCTGCAAGTGATACAAACTTTGATGGTAGATACAATTACTCCTAGAGTCCAACTTATAACTTTTTGAAAAACAAGTTCAGAAACATTGATTCTTTCAGTCATTTAGCCTATTGTTATGTACTGGAAGTCTCCATGACAGACAGCATTCTTTCTGTTAGCTGAAAATAGGTAAAAATTTAGCCAGGCTGAGAAATGACTACAATTTCAGTGGCACAGTACTTTTTTGCATTAGAACAGATACAACAAATCTATTGCCAAAAAGCTGTGGAAAAGTCCTTTTCCATATATGGAGTATATGCTCAGGCTTTAAGAATAAAAGATCAACATACCCTGATTCTTCCATTTCATTTGTACAACCTTTGATGTGATGGGTGATGCTTCACAGACAGTGATATGGAACATCTGCAGCTAAGAAAAAACAGGACTTTCCTTTCTGATGTGAATTATTTGCATTGAAACTAACATGATTTAGAAAGATTTTGATGATATTTATGGTCAGATAAGAACATGAGTAGCCATGATGTCAGTTTAAAGCATTAATGTTAAGGACCACAGAGTTTTTCTTTTAGCCAGTCAAGGTGGCCATATTGATCTCAATCTCATAAGATCTTTTGTTCTGCAAAAGAATCCAAATGGAAATAAAAATTCAGAAAGTCAGATTTTAAAGGGGCTACAGCAATTCTGTGGTTCAGAACATCAAGATTTGCCTTGATGTTGAAACTTCTCATGGTGGGCTTCAGGTCCTGGGGTAATTCTGAATTGTTTGAATGCAGCTGTTGTCTGCCAGTGCTGGACTCAGAAAGAAAATACGGATTGTGTAACTGGGGGAACTTCTCATCTGACACACAACAATTTTTAACTGAACAAGCGTAGGATCAAATTAGATATCAGGAAAAAATTCTTCCCTGTGAGGGCAATGATACACTGCAATATGTTGCCCAGAGAGGCTGTGGATGCTGCATCCCGGAAAGTGTTCAACTCCAGGCTGGATGGGACCCTGAGCATTCTGAAGGATGCCTTCCCAGTGAAAAGTATTGCTATCCATAGCAGGAGTTTGGAACTAGATGATCTTCAAGATTTCTTCCAACTTGGACCATTCTATGACTATTTTATGATTAACCATCACGAACATAAAACAGGATATAAAATATATATAAAATATATATTTATATACACAAACAAGCAAAGAAGCCTCCATGACAGATAACTTCCTTGCTAGACTCTTACCAAGAAAACCAGTAAAAATTGCTTCATCACGTAACTATGCTAAGGACGTAGAATGTAAAACTGCAGAACAAAATGACCTTAGTGGCATTTGGAAGCTTAGTAACTGTGCTGATTAAAGACTTCCTGCAGTACTGAAGATAGGATGTAATTTAGGGAAGAAATAGTGAACCAGAGCTTCTTTGCCATAGCCCTGTGTTGAACTGGAAAACATGTTAACTGAGGTTTTTCATAAATATTGCAAGTAGGCAAAGTAAAAGTATTTTCAGCACCTTTGTTTGCTAGTGGTTGCAAATAAGGTGTTTAAGACTGTGAGTGAGACATGGAGCTTCTTGTGGTGGTATGTTTCACAAGAAAATTCCAGCAGAATCGAATTTCCTGCTTCAGAGAGAGTGTAGAATATTCTACGCAGAGAAGGAATGGGCTCTACCTACATGAGAGGCATCTATAAACAAAACCACACTCCTCATTTTTAATAAGATTGCCTGATGTTTTCTAGAGAATTTAGGAATGGTTGTAGCTAAAAACAAACAAGCATACACAAATGCAAAATACAATGCAAAACAAACAACAACACCTCCTCATAAAATGAATCCAGAAAAGAAGTAAATACATATAAACAAGTAAAATCAGTAACAACAGAAAAAAATACAGAGAAAATTTCAAATTAAAAAATGAGAAATAATGAGCCAATGATCTTTTCTAAGAACTTTGGTTTTCTACATACAAGATCTAACTATTATGTTGTCCCAAAAGCATTTTAAACAAGGAATAAATAAATAAATACCATATGGAAATTGCATTGGCCATCATGCCAGAACTAACCTTTGAATGAAGCTATGGTTCTAAATACGGGAAACAGAGGGAGAAGAAAAGACTTTTTGTTTTCTTCATGAGAGGAGGAAATTTCATTGCTCCAGGCAGTCTTAGGAAGACTTCAGTGTTCCAGGTCACCTTGCCAGGTGATGTTGCAGGGTTCCTGCTCTTTGTTATACTCGATTGTGAACTGGGACTTGACAGCAGGAAAAGATTTCTCTGAAATGGATTCAGCTAGTTAACACTGCAGCCACCAACCCATCCACATGGAAAAAGACCCAAAGTGTCAGCACTTATTAATATTTTTTTGGAAACCACACATTTCACAGGAACAGTGACAAAAAATGTAGCTTTAGCAATGGCCTCGTCAATGAAAGTTGGTGTCTTTGTTTTTGTTTTTATTTTCCCATGGCTGTTTTATTCATTAATTTTCTTCCCTGGTCTGAAAAGAGAAGAATATTCAAATGTTTTCTTTTCCAAAATAGAAGTGGAGATAGCATCTTTCCCATAATTTCATGTACACATGCCATCTCCATGTGACAAAAAATATCTTCACACTCACCTTGGGCAGATTGTTTTGAAGTCGGGATCTTGGGGGAAAAAGTCCCTCTGGCTGGAAGCAAAGATTCCTCCAAAGCTTCGCAACCACCAGAGGAACCTGAACATCTGTAAGTCTATGCATCCTGATAAGATGCCTCCCGCAGTCCTTAGGAAATTGGCTGACGTAGACACCAATTCACTTTCAATGATATTTTAAAAGTCATGGCAATCAGGTGAAGTTTCTGGTGCCTGGTAAAGAAGGCAGTATAACACCTGTTTTTAAGATGGATTAGACGGGACAACCCAGAGAACTACTGACCTGTCAGCTTTATCTCTGTGTCAGGGAAGATCACGGAACTGATCCTTCTGGAAACATTGGTAAGGCACACATGGGAGACAGAGAGGTGAAGAAAGACAGTCAGCATGGCTTCATCAGGAACAAATCCTGCCTGACAAACTCAGTTGCATTGCCTACAACACTCAGTGGCTTTCTATGATGATGTAACTGCATCACTGTGAAAGGGAAGAGCCACTGATGTCATCTATCTGGACTTCACTAACGCCTTTGACATGGCACCCCACAACATCATTCTCTTAAAATTGGAAGAATGTAGATTTGATGGATGGTCTCTTTGATGGACAAGGAAATGGTTGCAAGGTCACACTCAGAGAGTACTGGTCAGTGTCTGAATGGAGATCAGTGACAAGCAGTATCTCTCAGGGTTCTGTATTAGGACCTGTGCTCTTCAACATCTTCGTCAATGATATATCCAATGGGATTGAGTGCAACCTCAGCAAATTTGCAGACGACACCAAGATGTGTAATGTGGTTGACACACATGAATGATGGGATGCCATACAGAGAGATCTGGAAAGGCTCAAGCAGTGGCTTCAGAAGAATCTCATGAAGTTTAACAAAGGACATCCAAGGTCCAGCCTGGACCGTGGCAACTTCCATTATTAATACAAGCTGAGAGATGAAAGGATTGAGCACAGCCCTGCTGAAAAATACTTGAGGATGACAAGCTGGACATGAGCCAGCAAGGTACTCTCAGAGCCCAGAAAGTCAACCATATCCTGGGCTATATCAAAAGAAGTGTGGTCAGCAGGTCAAGGGGAATGATTCTTTAATTTTCTTCCCTGGTCTGAAAAGAGGAGAATATTCTACTCTGTGCTGATGAGACAGCACCTCGAGTACTGTTTCCAGATGTGAACAGGACAGGAGAAACAAGGATCTGTTGGAGTGCATCCGAAGGAGGGCCTCAAAAACAATCTAAGGAATGGAACACCTCCCCTGAGAGGGCAGAATAAGAGAGCTGGGGCTCTTCAGATTGAAGAAGAAGGGATCTCTGGGTGAACCTGATAGAAGCCTTTCAGTATCTAAAGGGAAGATATAAAAGCAGGAGAGACTCCATAGCAGAGCCTGTTGTGATTGGACAAGAGGAAATGGCTTCAAACTAAAAGATGGGAGATTTAGACTGGATATGAGAAAAAAATTTTCTTGGAAAGGCACTGAAATGGTTTACCTGGAGAGGTAGTAGGTACCTCATCCCTGGAGATACTCAAGGTCAGTCTGGACCAGGCTTTGAGCAACCTGATCTAGCTGTACATATCCCTGTTCATTTCAGAGGAGCTGGACTACATGACCTTAAAGGGTCCTTTCCAAATCAAAAGATCACATGATTTTATGACAAGAGAACTAGGTAATTAGATATAATCCACAGCTCCCGACTGGCATATGCTATCAGAAATGTTATGATGGAAAGCTGAATGAATCTTTTCTCTTGCTACAGTAGAATTTTTGACAGACACGCTTACTGCCACAGTTGAACCCTCTGACACTGACCATTGAAACCACAAGAATTTTCAGTGACACAGACATTTATATTTTAATATTACTTGGCTTTATGAGACCGTAGCAGCACATGTAAGTTTACCCAGTTGTTGATCACATTATGGATGTAATGTGAAACCTAACTCCACACGTAATGCAATAAATGTAACATGAAACTCTTGCCCAAATTTGTGATCAGGGATGGGAGAGAAGCTGTAGTTCCCCTTTCTTGGCTGGAGTGAGGATTTGCAGCAATAATAAAAACAGCAAATCTAACATCCAATTGTAAATACTATGGTAGGCAGATACAGTCACTGAAGTGTATAGGTTAAATGCATGGACACATAAGCACATATGCAGGATATTTATTCTGTATTCTCCTGCAGAGCATGAATTTGAGAGAGAAAACTCTCCTGTTGTGACTGATAATTTTCTGGGGGCTGAAACAGCTGAGTAAAAACTTCAGAGAGGAGTGGAGAAGAGCGAGTGGGACTGTAAGAGAGAACTGAGGAGTGAGTGTCTGGGGATCTTCAGACAAGCTAATGATTTCAAGGGATATAACTTCACAGCATGTATTAGAATTAAACCAAGAGAAGGGGTTGACTGATGGAGAGGGAAGCTTTTATGCTCATAAAATACAATGAACTCATTTAAAATGTCAGGGGATATGAGAAAGGACTGATTCCAAACCAAACAACGTTTTGTCTCCTTGTTTGGCAGTTATTAACTTCAGTATTACTGACTTTTGTTAACTCTTAGCAGGAGCATCCTCTTCCTCATTTGTGTTTATTATAATTGGTCCTGGAGGAAAAAGTTGCTGGGACCTATTCTCGTATACTAATGGCCCATTGAATACTTAATATAACAATAAAAAATGAGTTTAGTCATAAATTTTCAGCAATTCTAATTTAAGTGAATATTTCAAAGGGTTTGAGAAGAATGTTCTCGTTAGTTTTTCCTCGATTGAATTGTGAACTTCCTGAATTTGGTAGATGCTTTAACATAGTTAATTTGAGTTAATCTAAAGTGTGATATTGTATATAGCTTGGGTTGGATGTTTGATAAATCTGTGTGTTGGTCAGCTTTACAGAAAATGACCTGTAGGTCCTGACAGACAACAAACTGAACACAGGATTCGTATATGTCCTTTCTGGAAAGAAGGTGAATGGTACTTTGAGCTATGTTTTGTGTGTCTTCCCCTCTGCTCAGCAGTGATGAGGCCATCCCTGGAGTGCACTGACCTTTTTCTGGGCTCTTAGTACAAGAGACAGACACAACTACTGGAGAGTGTCCAGTGAAAGGCCACAGAGACAGAGAATGGACTGGAAGAAGCATCACTTATATGACGAAATGCTGACAGAGCTGGGACTCTTCAGTCTGGAGGACTCAGGATCTCAGGGGGATCTCATCAGTGTTTGTAACTAACTGAAAGGAGGGTGCAAAGAGGACAGACTCAGGGTCTTGTCAGTGCTGCTGAGAGCCAGGACAGGAGGAATGGGCATTAACTAGGGCACAGCAGATTCCATCTGAACATCAGGAAACACTTCTACACTTTGCAGGTGACCATGCACTGGCCCAGGTTGCCCAGAGATTGTGGAGACTTCCTTTCCAGAGAGCTCCAAAAGCTGTTTGGATGTCGTTATGGGCAACCTGTTCTGCTTGTCTCTGTTTGAGGTTTTGGACCAAATGAACTAAGAGATTCCAGTCAACCTCAGCAGTTCTGTGATTCTTCTACATATGTACACTCCAGATTTTTATCTCTTGTACCACTAGAGAAATTAGTCCAACTGCCTCCAAACTTGATCACAAGGTGTTCCTGTTGCATTCTATGTGGTTTCATTTCTAGCTAGCTTATGGAGTTAAGAAATGTTTATTAGAGGTAAACAAGTGGTGTAAGTTGTGTAGAAACAAGTGACAGGAAGGTAGTGTCAGGAAGTGGTATGTAATGCATGGTTTTTCATAATTGTTAGCAACCTATTGACAAACTTGATTTTAAAACACTTCATTATTTATTGCAACACCTATTAATCATTTATTTTATTTATTATTTAGTGACCTTCCAGTCACGGGATTTATTTGAGATAAAATGTGCCACAAATGAGAATAAAGAAGCTGAAGTAAAGACAGATCATTGGAATCTGACATACATATGAATACAGTGAGTTTTAACAATTATGTTTTGTACCTTATGCTTTTTATGTTGTATCTGCTTGATAAGTTTTAACTCATGCAGATATTTATTATGTGTACCTTTCAGACCTTTTCATTAAACTAAGATTGTCCCCAGAAATCATTCAAAGACCTGATTTTAGAAAGCAAGTAAGGAATTATCTCCAGGAACAAAAATGCAAGTGAAAATCTCTTTTTGATCCTTTTCTTTTAGATGTTAAGTGGAATATCTCTGGAGTGTTAAAAACAATGTAGCAGACATCTGATAAGTATTCTAAGAGGTGTTAATAAGCATATGGTGAGTACAAGCTGAAACTGGGTCTGAGTTAATGTGAAGCTGCTGCACAGTCCTTTTTTTAAAATTTCATAAAAATATTTGTTAAGAAGGACATCTAGTGGGTCATCCATTTCAGCAGCCATGTCATGGCTTTTTATGTTGAATTCCTATTAGGTAGAAGAGTGGAAAGACAAAAGGTGTAGTATGGGTGTAGTGTGGAGGCTGAACTGCTGCCTAACATGCTTCCTTCCCCTTCTGCAGCCATGTTGTTTTAGGCAGAATATTTTGTTTGCAAACATGTTTTCCAGCCCAAGGCTTTTCTTTGTTGGCTGTGTTCTGGGTGACATGTTACTCGTGAGACAGAGATCCTGACCTCAGAAATATATCTGGAGTCTTTCACCTTCTTTTATGTTTGGTTGTAGTCTAAACATTGTGAGCTCGTGCCCTAACTTAAGGGAGAATATGGCCTGGGGCCAGAGACACGAATAATTTGATGAAAAAGGTGTCAAGCGGAGATGACTTCCTGAAAAGATTGAGCATGGCACTCCAGCAAAACACCACTATTTCCACTGTCCTATTAGGATTGTAGTTTGTCTGCTTCGGCGTTAACAGCAGTTCACATGGAACTTCCTGTCACCTGCCACATCCCATCTCATTCACTTCTGCATTGTGTCACTGCTCTCATGGAGTGAACAGGCAACTAGGAGAATTTCCTTGCTGCTACCTGATACACCATTACTCACCTCTTATCATTTTAGCAAAGCAGTTACGTTGCTGTCAGAGGTAATGGAGACTGTGCCACTACGAAAATTGTCTGTAATTTATTTATCAATTGTTTCTGCGTACCACAAAAGAGACCATCTACTTTATGGCTGGGTCTAAGGTATCTGAGAGCCCTTGAAGTTCATGGTTTTCCGGTATTCTAAGTTGTGCTTATGGCTTTTCCTGTATATGACACACAACACCACCCCTGTGGTCTTGAAGGCTGATTTCTTCTTTGCTTTCTTTAGTCACAAATCATTCTGAGGCATCCCTTAAGTGCATTTGTATTGTTAAGTGCACCGGCCTGATTTGGTGTTAATTCAATTTGAGTGCCCTTAATATCTTGCGGGGGTGAGGCAATGCATGCGAGCTGTACCTTGTAAAAACAGGTTCCAGGTCTGCCTGAGAGAAAAGCACCTTTCCCACAGCAATTTACCAAAGTTGCTGATAAAATTTTCATAAGGAAACCTTTTTAGTCTGACCCTATTGTGTTATTCTACCATTAAGAGTCAGGGAACTGAGACTGTCTTCTGGTGACAGTTTATCACAATCTCCATTATTTTAGAGTATAGTCAGCCTACTGATGGGTCACAGCCTACCTCTGCTCCTCTTTCGGTATGGAAACGGCTTTCAGAGCTGGAGCCTGGAGGCCCAAGCATGCCAGTTTCAGCGCGTGTGCGTCAGTATAACTGAAGTGAACTCTAGATAAACCAATCACCTCTAACCTCCAAATGGTGGGAGATGGGACATTTTAGTACATTTGGGGCATAGCAAAGATAGGGAAAAGCAGAAATAAACTGCAGTAATAGTTAGCCCAGTGAACACATGGAAGAAATAGCATGTCACGTCCTGATAAAGAAAAGCTATTTGACTAATAATCAAAGTTGAAAAGCCAACTTTAAAATAACTTAATTGAGCAAATACTATCCTCATACATGTAAGGATGAAGTCTATTCTCATTTCAGTCATTGTAAATCTTCAGTGTTTACTATAAAAATTTATCTTATTAAGGTGAACTAGTATGTAGTGCCAAGAAAAGCTCTTTCCTAATTCCCAGACTGTCTCTCCCTCCATCATCACCTGTAGACTTTGGAGAGAAAGGAGCTGCATCAAGGGAGACAGACTGAAGGCATTTCAATCCTGTGTCTTGATTTGTAAATACATTTTTTCAACTACATTATAGTCAGATTAGCCTGGATGCCTTTTAAAGACTGGGATGTTTTCTGAATTGCTGTTTTGCATTTTGGTGGAAAACCAAGAACAAAAGACTTAACATGAGTCAGCAATGTGTGCTTGCAGCCCAGAATTCCAGCTGTATCTGGGTTGCATCAAGAGAAGCATGACCATCGGGTCAAGGAAAATGATTCTGCCCATTTACTTTGCTCTTGTGAGACCCCACCTGGAACACTGCATCCAGTTCTGGAGCCACCAGCACAAGGACATCAAGCTATTGGAAATGGTCCAGGAAAGGCCACAGAGATGATTAGAGAGCTCGAGCACCTCTCCTGTGAGGAGAGGCTGAGAGAGTTAGGGCTCTATAGCCTGGAGAAGGGTCCAGGGGGATCTTGTAGTGACCTTCCAGTACCTGAAGGGGACCTACAAAAAACTGGGAAGGGGCTTATTGTAAAGACATGTAGCAACAGAATGAGGGGAAATGGGCTTTAAACTGGAAGAGAGAAGATTTAGAGTAGATATTAGAGATAAATTCTTTACTGTGAGGTTAGTGAGACACTGGAACAGGTTGTGGATGTCCCCTCCCTGGTAGTGTCCAAGACCAGGCTAGACAAGGCTTTGAGCAACCTGGTCTATTGGGAGGTATCCCTGCCTACAGCAGGGGGGTTGGAACAAGATGATTTTAAAGGTCCCTTCCTACCCAAATCATTCTGTGATTCTATAATGATTGCATGGAAGGAAGAAAGGAAGATAAAAGAAAGAGAGATCAGAATTTGTCAGAATAAAAAAGCAGACAGAGGAAGCAGAAAACTGTCATGGTTTGGCAAGGACCTTCTGGTCAAACAAGGATGGGTAACTTGGGAAGAAAACAGGGATGCTGTCTGCACATGCAGAGACAGGATTAGAAAAGCCAAAGTAGAGATGGAAATGAACTCGGCAAGGGATATTAAAAGCAACAAGAAGGGCTTTTGTAGGTACCTAAATCAAAAAGAATAGTCCAAAGAGAGCATACCTTCTCTGCTAAATGAGAAAAGAGAACTGTTTACAGCAGATAAGGCTGAGGTACTCAATAAGTTCTTTCCCTCAGTCTTCACTGGCAGCCAGAATTCTCATATTTCTCACATCCCTGAACCTCCTATCCTTGAACCTCTTGGAGGGAGCTGGTGGAGCAAATTCCCCCCCACTGTAAGGGCAAGTCCAAGACCACTCTGTAAGACTGACAAGGAATTGGTTGAAAGGTCACAGCCAGAGAATCTTGGTCAATGGCTCTATGTCCAGATGCAGGCCAGTAACAAGAGGTGTTGCCGGAGGTCCATCTTGGGTCTGGTACTATTTAACATCTTTATCAATGACATAGATGGGATAGATTGCATCCTCAACAAGTTTGCTGATGAAATCAGGCAAAGTACTGCAGTAGATATGGCAGAAGGAGAGGATGCCGCTCAGAGGGACCTTGATAAACTTGAAAAGTGAGCCTATTTGAACTTTATGAGTTGCAATAAAACTAAGTGCCAGATGTTGCATTTGAGTTGGGGCAATCCCAAAAATATGTACAAAATAAGAGAAGAGTTCCTTGAGAGCAGCCCTGTGGAGAAGGACTTAGGGGTCCTGGCAGATGAAAAACTTAACAGTATCCTGGGCTCTAGCAAAACAGAGGTGGCCAGAAGGGTGAGGAAGGTGCTAGTCTCCCTCTACTCTGCCCTCATCAGGACCCATCTGGAGTACTGCATCTAGGTCTGGACGTCCAACCCAGGAAAGATGTGGAGTTTATGAAGCAGGTTCAGGGGAGGGCTACAAGGATAGTCAGAGGGCTGGATTACCTCTCCTATGAGAAAAGGCTGAGAGAGCTAGGCTCATTCAACCTGGAAAAGAGATGATTGTGGAGAGACCTCATTGCAGTCCTCCAATATTTATAAGCAGACTGTAAACAGGAGAGAAATCAACTTTTTACAATGGGTAGATAGAGATAAGACAAGGTGGAATGGTTTTAAACTAAAGGAGGAGATATTTAGATTTGATGTCAGAGGAAATTTTTCAGTGAGAGAGTAGTGAAGTGCTGGAACTTGTTGCCCAGAGATGTGGATGCCTCGTGTCTGGAGGTGTTCAAAGCCAGGTTGGATGGGGCCCTGAACAACCTGATATAGTACTTGATGTAGTGGATGGCAACCCTGCTTATGGCAGGGGGTGGAATCTGATGATGCTTGAGGTCCCTTCCACCCCAATCCACTCTATGATTCTATGATTCTATAAAACAAAAAGAAATAAATGGAGAGAAAAAGAGAAAAGAAGGAAGATAGAAAGAAGGAAAAGTAGGAAATGGCCTCTGAATTTGGCAGAGGCTGAAGTAGGTGTTTGGGAGCTTAGCTACTGTGGCAGTGCTGCTCAGCATAAGTACCTATACACTGAGGATGAACAGTTTGATAACAAGGAGCATCTCCAGTAACCTAGCACTCAGTGGTAAATTTGTTGCACTCCACATTGCATTTGGGACTCTTGCCCTCGCTACCAGCATGACTTGCTGTCTGTTGCTGGTGGGCGAAAACCTTGATCCTGCGTCCCACGGAAGTCAATAGGAGCACTGCCTTTGACATCAATGAGTGCTGGATCAAACCCCAGGTGAAAAACAATAGCTCTGCTGCTAGTCAGGCCAAATTGATGAATAAATTAGTGCATGGAGTCTGGACATGTATGGGGTGAGTGTCTCTTGCAGAGGAATTTTACAGTCCAAGTATGTGTGACCAAGGCAATTTGATTAATTATTGGATAAAGCTTGAGGCGAGCACACAGTTACAGATACCAGCCAGAGAAACTGTGTTACAGAGGAATTTAAGATACCTTTGACTATAAGTCTCTTGATCTTCAGGGTATTCAAGGAAGACAAGGCAATTCTTTCTGTGTGTTTTCAACAGAAGAGAAAAAGGAGGCAGCAAATACTTATAGCTTTTTCTTTCTCTGACACCCATTCTTATGCTCTAAAATTGTACTCCCAATTATCTTTGAAGAAGCTTATAACTTTTCAGAAAAAGACCTAAATACATTCCATGTTTTCACAGAATCACAGAATCACAGAATTATAGGGGTTGGAAGGGACCTCTCCCCACCAAATCTTGAAGTTTGAACTGCAGTGATCTGTGAGGAGTTTGAAAACTGCTTTGCTGCTCCTAAACAAGGGAGAAGCTGCAAAATGTAAGATCACCATAGGATCTGGATGTCTGTAGCTGGTGTTTCTGTGTCTCCATGCACCACTGAGGTCACTAGCAAGAACTGTACCACAAAACTCTGGAAATTCTGGATTACTGAGAAAAATGCTTGCTATTTTGTCCTTCTTTGGGTCTGTTTTGTCCCTCTGAGCTACCTAGTCTCTTTTGTTTTTCTTCTAAATTCTGCTAAGTGCCTCATCCTATATTTTTGAGAATACTATCCCGTACAGATTTCTATTCAAATAACTGGGATTTTTTTTTAAATTCTTTTTTTTTTTCTTTTTTTTTTTTTCTTTTTTCAGTAAAGCAGAGATGGACTGCGCTGTTAAGAATTTCAGAAAGAAGGGCTCACCAAGACATCCTAGGAGCTCCTGCCAGCTGTGTCTCTTTAAACTCCAGGGAGCTGAAGTGGTGAGAAAGAGTTATGAAAGAGTTACCAGGACTGGGTAAGATGTTACAGCACAATGGGGCCAGCTGGTGCAGCAGGTAACCCTCTGAGATGCAAAGGTCAATCCCACCACAGCATCTGCAGAATTTGCACTATAAGCGAGGCCCCTTCCAGTGGATTGAATACTGTGAATACTCTCCTGCTCTCACACAATTTTTGGGACTTGGAAGGGAACAGCTTTTGGAATACTTGCAATACTCCTTTTTTTTTCTATTTTTTTTTTTTTTTTTCTTTAAGGAGCTGAGGGGTGAAGGTTATTTGCAGTGAGTTTCTGAAGAGGAGTCCTGTTGACAGGATTTGTGCTACCCTTCACACAACAGAAGGGGAAGAGTATGTGAGAGATGGGAGTAAATGTCTCTGCGTATGGTGCTTTGAGAGAGAGAACTCCAGCTCAGCCAGGGAAATAGTCTTTGGCTTACTAATCCACTGAGAATCCACTCTTCTCTCTCCTTTCCTTTTCATTAGTTTATGTACATCAGCTCTCATCATGTTTACCTGCGAAGTGGTTTCAGTATGACTGCTATCTTTGTAGCTTTTTCTATAAACACTTCAAGCCTTGCCGTATAGCTCAGATGGAAGCTAAATAAGCATTCAAATGAAACAAAACTCCTCAGGAGATCTTGCTGCCAGGACATAAGTTGTGCAGTCAGGAAAAAATAGCCAAAGTATGAAGCTACGGGCCATGCCTTCTGCTAACAGAGACACTGGTGTTTCCCTTGACTGTTTTGAAATGAGGCCTGAGCCAAGCATTCTCCACATGGCTTCAAGTGGGAATGCATCTTATTGCTCAAGATGCAAAAAAAAATTGAGTGATTTACTCACTTCTAAACTTACACTGCACATCTACCATTAATCATGCACAATCCACAACAATGTCACTCTCTTTGTTCACTGCAGTGAAAGTACCAATGTATCATATATTCAAATTACATTGTGTGCTTGAGGGAGCTCACAATCCCCTGCAAACTTCTGTGGTAGCATGGTTTGCAAGCTCCACACGCTACATGTGAACTATTTATTGTGTGTGTGACTGCAAGCCTAAATCCCTGCCTGGGATTATCTGAAAACTCTGGAACTTGCCAGCAAGAAAATTTACAGCTGAACAATTATATTGTTGAAACTCTGACAAATCCACCCCAGTTTATGACTTTGAAAATAGGACTAGGTGTGAGCAACTGAATAGATTATATACTGTAGCACGGCCTCCTGGGTGTTGCAATATAGAATCTGTTTACTTTGACTGACAATTTTCATTTTCTTTTCTTCCAGACATTATTGCAGCAAATGATCTCTCTGCTCAATACGGACTTGTTCCTCAAAAAATGGTTTAGGTATTTGGATAAACATCGTCTGAACAAGTTTTTTCTTATTATGATTTTTGGGAAGTAATCCAGCAATAATACAGTTGACAGGCAACATGATGAGTAAAAGCAAGTAGCCGTGCATTATATTAGTACATCAGACTACATCAACTTCCAGAACTTCTTTTCAATATAAAAAAACTAAAGGTTTAAAAACTCGGAGTCTGAGCACAAAGGAGAGCCTTTTCCCCTCTCACTATGCTGTAAGCAGAAATTTAAACCTCTCCAAATAAACAAGTGACTTCTAGCCAAGAGTGAAATAAATCTCACTCAAGCACAGAACGATGTTCTTTCTACTTAGAGCACTTACGAAGTACAAGATTTGTTGTTAAAACCAACAGTAATACGTACAGACAGAACAAGAGCAAGGATACGGACTGATCAAATCATTTTCCTTATATATTGGTACCAGAAACTGGAAATTCATTAAAATTTTCTACTTCCTTCAGAAATACCAGTTGTCGAATGCAAGAACAGGTGGAAATGACTGTTGGTTATCATGTGGTAAACTGGTATGTTAGCCTAAAGAGTCATATTTTTCATAGTTACAGAGGAGAAAAAGTAGAAAAGCAAAGTTTCTTTTCCAGAGCATTCTCTGAATGACAAATAAAACATTCTTTTTCACACTCAGGCAAAAACAAGTAGCATGTTGTATATAAAGAAGACTGAGAGTTGGGAGTTTTATTAAGTGTGCTTGAGTTGTGAAATGCAGAAATATGCAACTGTTACCTTTAATTTCGTGAACATGAGGAGGCAGATACAAGTTTTATGTATCTTAGTTCTGCCATTTGTATTTCTGAATACTGGAAATAGGTGGTCTCTCTGTTTTTCTGTAGTTTCTTTTAGCTACTGCTAATATTTATTCCTGAAAGAGAAAGTTGCTTACGTTTTTGATATACCTATTTTGTACTTTACTGTGCTTGCCCTGCTCTTGGAGTGGGCACTGTACTTTCTGAGAATATTAAGATGAAAATTCCACCTTGTTTAAGCTGGGGAGGGATAATTTCTCTGCAGTACTACTGAAGCGACTTCAAAGCTTATATTCGGAGGGCCAGTGAAGTCTCATAATAAACTGCAGATTCTCTAGTGCCTTTGTGTCTACCAGTAGTGGACTTCACTGTGCAGCAGAAGGAGTGACAGGAGTCCTGAGTGCAGGGGATGGGTACACTCTGAACACTGCAAAACCTGCTGAGATTGTTTCTGAGGAAACTTAGAAAACAACCCAGAGAAGGCTAAGGTTCACATCCTTGCTGTGCTTTTGCTCTGATAAAAAAAAAAATATGGGGGCAACAAAGACTGATTTACTCTTCACTCCTTGTCTTCCCACTGTAGTTGCCCATGTGCAGGCTCTCTCCTGCTAAGTGTCAGCTGTGTGCTCTGGTCTAAGAGGATGTAGCCACTAGGCTGAAGGAAACACTCTGTGCCAGTACCTCCTACTCTATTGCTGGTTTCCACCTCCAGGGAGGTTTCCATTCCTGTTACATTATGGCTCTGTGATCTCCCATTAGAAAGAAATCCCCAGAAATTAAATTAAGACAGAACTGGTACAATTACAGCACTTGCAAAAGCTCACATTTCTTTATCTCCCTGGATTGATGTTTATTTATGTTTCATGATGTAAATGGGACTAGAGATTTAGGCAATAGTTTACATCTTGTAAATAAAAATGTATAGGCATGTGACACTCACATCATATTTTCACCTTTGTTAGAGACCATAAAGCACTGGAAGAAGAGAAGAAGGGATAGGTCACTCAGTGATCTTTTCAGGCAATGTCTTCAACAACTCACTGCCATGTGACAATTTTCAAGGGTCATGCTTTTATAGTTGTCCCTGCTGGTGAACATTTTGTGCTAAATCTGGCTGACACTTTGCTGAGAACTGGACAGAAAAAAGGCATAAGCAGATCAGAAGTAGCTTCTTATTTTCAGCTTAAAGCTTGAGTAAACTGAAAAAAGTTTCCCCACTAAGAATCTGTTTCATCTGAAATTATTCTATTGTCTCAACAAGTACTCTGCATTTCAAGCAACTCTGCAGGAACCACAAATAATTTACTTCATAATGGAAAGAAAGAAAAGGTTAGTGGGGAAGTAAGTGAACTTGTCTCCACAAGAGAATTATCTTGTCCTTGACAGCCATTTTCTTTGCATCTTCCCCAAAATTTTCTGGATGGAACAAAGAGAGGGTGCTCAGGCAAAAACAGAGACTTGTGCACTCAGTTTTTCCTGACTTTTGTTCTCCCTAGATTCCTTACCATTCTTTCTTTTCCCAACTTCAAGCGCCATTAAGAAGGAAGATACAATTAGAGACTGTATGTTTTATCCTGCTTGTATCTCCCACAAGTTGCTGAAGTTCAGGCTTCATGAGTGAGCAGAGTCAGAGAGAGCGAGTCATCACAGTCCAGTGGTTTTGAATTTGATGTATGTAATTTATGGCAACAGCTAGCAACAGATGTAGTGTAGTGATCTGCTGAGAGTCTTTATGAATAGTGTCTTGTTCTGGAGCAAGAGGTTCTGGAGAATCTACCTAAGAGCTAGACAGTATTTAAATCTTGCCATTCACATCTGAAAGTCCGTCCTCTCTTTGACATCCCATGTCAGCTCCTTAAATCAAAACTCATGCACTCAGGAATGAAGTAAATAAATTATAAGCTTTATTGATTGTGTCTGCTGCGTGAATGTTCTTTAGAATTGACTAAGCCGTCCAAAGCATTGTCCCAACATGGATCAGGCTCTTCATAAATCCCGACATGGCTGCTCAGAGGGAACAGAAATGTTTTCTTTGGTGGATCCAAGGTTCTGTCAGGGAAGGTTTTGATCTCCACAGCTTTACAACATCCATATGGTGAGGAATAAATTAGCTGGCTCCTTCAGTGGGATATGGGATCAGTTTTTTAGATTGGACAGAAGCCCACTATGATACAGTTTTTTTCTTCTTTCTAATGAATATCAGTGAATTCCACATGATGTTTGGAACCAGAAACCCCGTTTGTCTCTCGCTTAGTCTGTTCTCTCATCCATATGACTTTGTTGACTTCAGCTAAATTACTGGTATAGAAGTGTCTCAGACTTCTCTGCCAGCTAATGGAAGTAGTGATGGTGGTCACTGATTTGAGGTTATTTTGCTGGGGGAGGGACTGTTCTTTGCTTTTGCTTGAGAGCAAGGAGCTGTGGTAAATCATAGGCATGTTTCTTGGGATGGAGATAATAAATCACTCTTCCTAGGTGAAATCTTTTATTTATGCATTGGGATTCCATTTCATCGAAGAAAGGTATGTTCTTTTGGCTTCAGCTAGGCTGCACTTAAGCAAGTGATTCAAATCAAGCTGACACTTACTAGTGAGCATGTTGAACACTTTGCTCTCAGATGGTTCACTGTGCTGCCATGCCACCATCCTCTCTTCTTCACAGATGTTTGTTCTCCTCTAGTTTCATCTGGAAGAAAAATCACTTCCTCCTCCCCATGTCAGTGGGAATTCAACTGCAAAGGATACCTTGATTTTAGGGACAGTGGGTCACTCTGACCTGCAAAAAATTGAAGGAGAGATGAAAATATCTTTTATTTATAAGTTGATGCCTATTTGCAAAAAATAACCTCAAGTCTAGAACAACAACAACAAAATATAGGAAATTCTTTACACATAGAAAGTTCTGAATGCTGTTCCTGTCTCTAGGAGTACTCTAAGTCAGTCACTAAGTCAATACCAGTCCTTTGCACTGCCTGTCACCTGGCTAGATTGATGTACCCATATATTGCACTGAAAAAACATGGTTCAGAAACATGAACCTGCAAATAAGGAAGTTTTGCTGCCAGAAAAGAAGAAAGCAGTTTTAGAATTTCACATGGCTTCTTGGTTAAATTGTATTTATTTACATCTAGAATGAGGTGCACCATCTCAATTTACCAGATAAGTAAGTGGAGTGTTATATGACATGCCAGAGTAGAAAAAAAAGAGGCTGTAGACATGAGGAGTCATAGGAACTGGTAATCTTCAGAAGATACCTCGAGCCTCTGTTCAAACTGAGTGTTCCAGTGGTACAAAGCATCTCAGCATGCAGGCTACATGTCACAGTGGAAGGCTGATCGCTCCTAGGCATATCAACCTGCATGTCTCTAGATGACCCATAAGATACCAGGGATCTTTGGATGAATGCAGTATTGTGCAGTCATTCACACTTCTGTGGCAGAGACCCATTGCACTGGCCACTTCTTACTGCTGACAACACAGCTTTCAGCTTGCTTTCAAGCTTAGAACAGTAGAAAACGGAGGCCACTGATTACAAAGCTCTGATTATTTTCTTAATTCAGCTTACTTTTTGCCTTCACGGGGCGTTTCCTACACTAAGTAGAGGATGAAGCTTGCTGTTTCTAAAATGTAAACTTGGGCATCACAGTCAAAAATAGAATGCCTGCAGAAAGGAAACAAACACTATTTGTAGCATGAATTAGTATGTGCTGGAGTTTGAAGGCTGAAGTAATATTTATATGCATAGAGGGACTATGTGAATTCCTGACCTGGAAAGGTGATCCTGCCATTTAACCATTTATGCATTGCTAATAAACAGTGGAAGAAAAAACTTAAACTAACAAAAATATAATCCAGTTTCTTTTCATTAAACATTATATGAGGCTCTCTCTGAAAGTAATGCCTCCTATTCATTTCCATGGAAACTACAACGACTACAAAAGGCACAATAACATTATTTGGTAGAACAAATTCTCAGCTACAAAACACTGTTTTTCAACATACTCACCACCATTAGCTGATTCATGCAGATGAGCTGATAGGGACACCTTTTATTTTGTGTTATAACACTTGTGTGTGGCAGTCTGGGACGTGTCTTGTCCTTCATGTTGCTGTTTCTATTGCAGAAACACACCACCCAGACCTTGCTGTGCTCAATTCCACTGTTGGGTCTCCATTCTCTTTCAGCAAGCACTGATAAATGTCGGTGCAATTCTTTCTGCATGGAGAAATTCAGTACCACGCCATTGCTTCATATATACTTCCATGTCAGACTCCATTTTGACAGACTGCCCCTCTGCTGCCACCTGTCACAAGGCAACAACATGGAATGGAATAATGTTGGGAAAGTCCAACCTTTACTGCCAACATCTGCTTCTGATGTTGTGGGCCAACATGATGGAACAGAAGGCATTATTATTGGAATGACCCTCAAAATAATCATAAAAAGAAAACAAAGGCAAGGATAATGTTTCTTCCTTTCCTTTCACTTTTTACTGTGCTGTAATATATCCAGTGTTTGCTGAATATGCCAAATATTTTAAGACATTAATACATCTACAAAATATGTATAAAAAAGTAACTACCAAACCTTTCCAAACAAGCAGTCCCTTATCCTCTACTGTGGAAGACAGCGAGGCTTTGTTGAAAGAGAGACAGAACAAGTTTCCCAGTCCATAGTTCACAGGAGAAGGTGTCTGGCCACAAACACTTTACCCAGGAAAGTCACAGGTAAACTAGTCAACTGTACTCACAGTGATATGAGTACAGTGTGGGAATCTTATTAAGCAAGAGGAAGCTGGGCAGTATGGATTACACGATCAGCTCCAAATTGATCTGAAGACCTGCTAGAAATAGAGGAAAATCATTTCTCATGGACTTCAGTAATCTAGTTCTGTATCTAGTTTTAGGGAAAATGGGGCATGGAAATAACTTTAGGAAAGGCTGACAATGATCAATTCCATGGGCTAATATGAGCCAGAATATCCTCTCAAATGCTAAAACAGTCTGCGTCAAAAAAAATGAAAGGATCTTGGGGCTGCTTCAGTCTTGGTAAGAAACTGTATTTCTACATACATAGAGGATGTTTCTATATCATTTACCACCACTTTCCAAATTCTCTAACAACACATACGCTGATTTACTAGTGGCTCTTTGTTCTTAACATCCTTGTCATTTTCAGACAGACAACATTCAGCTGAAATCAGTGGAGACACGGCAATGGAATGGGTTGTTCCCAAAGCAGTAGAAAGTATTGCAAATAGGAGCACATCAGCTAGAATACAAAATGTGTGTTGTGTTATGATTACACTACTGAGGCTAATTCCTCTAAATCACTACATTTGTGGTTTTGTTCATGCTTTGCTATTAATAGCAATGTCTGTCTATATGATTGTATTGATAGCAGCATTATTTGAGAAGGAATTTTTTACTATCAAATATAAATATAGCAAGTGTTCATTTTTTAATTACATATAGCATTCAGAAAAGTGACACATTATTAAGAAAGGTCATTGATCACTCCCAGGATATGGCAGTAAAATATATAGTATGGACTAAAATTAAAATTTGTTTTAGAGCAGTGCAATGTGAAGTAGTGCAAAACAAAACCAAACCAAAAATAAAAATGGTGCCTTAATTAACAAAATAGATGAATAGATAAAGGATGAAAATTATAATCTTATATCTGATGATGGTGTGACTAGATTCAGAAACAGAGTTGCAAACAGTCCTTATTCTTTGTAAGATTGGAACATGATGGTAGACCAGTAGACATTTCTAAGGTTTTCATGACTTGATGAAAAAAGGTATCGGCGAGGTTATGGGTCAACAAAATGTTGTAGATGCCAGATCCGATAAAAAAATTTTTGGACTTTAGTTGATTTTGTTGTTTTGGCAACACTCGATTAACTCTGAGATTGTGCCAAAGAAGTTAAAATCGATTCCTCCCACCTTGCTGTTTTACTCATTCAGATCAGTAACATACGTCTGCTTTGAGGTCCTGATTCTGCACCCTCTGTTTCAAAAGGAGGTTTTGTCCTATTAGCAGCATGTGTGACCACTACCAAGAATTTGATGAGCTGAAGAAACTTTTCTGGTGAGATCACAGTCAGGCATATATGATCTCAAAATGTTTCATGTCTTCCTAAATAGATATGCTGGTTCTGAATTACTTTTAACATTCCAAATATCTTCACAGCATATAAAGGTGGGAAAAACTTAAAAAGCCATTTGCAAACTAACAAACATTAAATGAAAACAGAAAAGCATTCCCTTGAATTTCCTTCTCTACTTTCACTTTTATTGTATTCAGTACTTCCAATGACTTTTTTTTTTTTTTAATATATTGTATACTACAGTTTAAATAGTGTGTTTACTTTCCATTCTCGATCTGCAGCAGCTCCTTGCAGCAGCTACAGCCATTTTTTTACATAGGCAATGAGTATTCAGAAGTGTACCTTTTCTTGTTTAACACAACCATGCAGCTGGAAGCAAGGAATTAAAACAGTTCTGTGTGATCAGCATGTTGTCTGCAAAATGTGTGGATAACTCCTGCCAGCTTGCATAAAAATATCTGCTTTTTGAAGAGCAGCAGAAGGCCAAGGCAGGGCCTCAAAGTAGTCTACAGTGCAAGAACAAAAGTAAAATCTTAAAATTAGGACTGGGGAAGGAAAATTGTTAGCTTCTTCTTCTAAAGAAAAGGGATATTTCAGAGCAGCTGTGAAGCAAGACAGCTTAGAAAGAAAATATCTTTTTACTTGTTGGAAGTTTATTAGTGCTATATTGACAGCCTTCTGTTTAACAATTGCTGTTATTTGTTCAGGTTGGTTTTCTTTCCTCTTCCCGGGTAGGAATTTTGAAAAGATTCTCCTCATCTCCCCAGATCATGCTGGGTATTTGGGCATCTCAGAGAGACCTTCTGGCTGGGGAGCCAGCCACGGCCCTCGGACCAAGAAAGCACACAGGCTGATTGGGGTGCCAGGGTCTGACACAGATTGACTCCATGACTCCGTGACACAGATTGACAGATGAGACATGCATGACTCCATGTCCACATGGAAGATGGGGGAGCCCGTGGGGCCTGGCAAGCAGCAGCACTGAGGGATGTATTCAAGACCTGCTGGAGAAAAAACGGCAGTTTGTATTGTTAGTATAACCTTTAGAGGGGCTGTGTGGGGCGGCAGAATTCTTATTTCCACTCTGTAAAACACAAGATTAAGAGCATAATGAGCTCTATTAAAGCATCAGACAGCACATGGATAATTAGAAGATCCATCTTTATTAGGCAAGCAAAAACAAATGCATGTTATAAACCCTAATGCTCTAGAGCAAAAAATCACTTGCTAATTAAGGAGGTGGGATGGAGGGCAGGAGCAAGCATCACTGGAGGTCAGGTTACCCTGGGTTAGCCTGCTAAATGGCTGTTGCACCTTCCTCTTAAGCAGAAGCACTCCATGAGGTTTGTATAGGACAGCGGATTTTTCACCACTGTGATCAACATTTACACCTTAAGTACCTGCACTGAAACAATCTAAGGGCTACTGCAGTTGATTTACTGAATCCTGGTCTTACATGTCAAGAAAACCCTCTCCTCTCTTTAATGTGCGTTCTTTCACCGTTCCCTCCTCTCTCACATTCTTCATCAGAGATGACTTATTCCTGGAAATCACTGAAGTATTTCTGTGAAGACTCGTTGATTAGGTTGTGTGAAGTAATCATTGTTTTTTGACGCATTCATGGAAGGACAGTATTTCTGCATTTTCCTCAAAGCCTACTGTGCTGTGCACTCATAAAAGTGTTTCTTTGAGAATGTTTAAATGAAAATCTATTTCCATATATGAAAAAAACCGAACAGTAGAGTCAGTGGATTCATCTGCTGTTCTAAATTTCCTCACACTTGACTTGAAGGTGTTTGTTATAATTTAGAATTGAACACAAGAAGAAGTCAATGAATATTCAGGTGTGATGGAGGAATTTCTTAAAAAATACCAGCACACACCTGACTTGGTCTTGCAGTTCAGCCTTTCTGACATCTTGGGAAAGCTAGCAGAGGAGGTCAGTAGCTGTACATTGGCTTTGAAGAATTTCCTGCTAGTTTTAGATCAGTAATTTATAGAAGAGTACAAGAGGCTGCAGGAGCTGGACGTCTGACTTTTCTTTCATATGAGCTTTTGCTGTATCAGCTCATCCAAAAAAACAAACATTAGTGAGTTGAGGAAGAAATAATAAAGAAGAGCTCCCATACAAGGAGGGAGGTGAACTTTGCCCAAGGTGAAGTGTTGCATCCTGTTGGTCTTGGACCCAGAAATGGAGACCCTCAAGTGTGGCAGGCCTACTTGGGGTGCTATCATGACATGCTGGTAAGCAATCAGCATAGTCATTTTGTTCCAGATGTCCAGATGTCTTCACTGCTGACTTTCCTATCCCTCTCCACTTTGATGGCACCATTCACAGAGCCTTTGTTTCATCAGTAGAGAGGGGATTAGTCGCCTGCAGAACTGACTGCTATCTTCTCAGCTTTTTGTCAGCAGCTGACATCAGACTTAGAAAAGATCTTCTGTCCAGTTTTGAAGAGGTCATCCTCTCCTTTCAGAAGGTCTTGACAAGCAGAAGTGTTCATTGCCTTTCTTAAGTCAAGGCTACACCTGTCTTCCACAGATGAAAATCCTTCCTAGGGCCATTTTGAAAGCTGCAACCCATTCATTTCATAAACGCACACCTTATTCTGACCCAATAAAACATCACATCATTTCTATCCCCCTGGAAGAGTCTTTAGAAAATAAAGTAACAGCAATCCAAGGCAAGAGAGAACTTGTACCTACATGCTAGCCCTCTTTAATGGGATCAGATATAATTAGGTGCAATTTTTTCAAAAGTTACAAAGGGATTTCTCATATTTGAAGGATCCAACTGGGATGCCTCAGAGGCCATTCACATTAAGTGTCAGTTAGCTGCAACTTGGAGCAGGCTACTCACTGAGATATAGGAACTACATAGTTATAGTAGTTATAGTGTATGTTCCTGTATAGGAACTATAAAGTTATGCAAAGACTTAAGCCTTAATGGCATCTGAGAAATCAACTATAATCTTTTTGTACCAAACTGTGTTGCAGAAACAAGTAAACAAAGAGAAGGGGCAATTTCAGGCGACAAATGTGGGCTCTGGTCTGTCCTTTCATAATTTTAAAAATACATATATTTTTAAAGAAAGCCTGTTGTGTCCACCTCTGTGTTCCTCTTGTAGTAGGGAAAATAACTTTTTACACAGGTAGATAGTGATGGGACAAAGGGGAATGTTTTCAAACTAAAGGAGGGGAGATTTAGATGAGATATCAGGAGAAAATTTTTCACTTAGAGCACTTCACTTAGAGCATTAGGCACTAATGTTGCCCAGAGAATCTGTGGATGCCCTGTCCCTGGAGGTGCTCAAGTCCAGATTGGATGGGGCCCTGGGCACCCTAATCTAGTGCCTGATTTAGTGGCTGGCAACCCTGCCTGCATCAGTCTGATTGGAATTAGATGATCTTTGAAGTCCCTTTCAACCCAAGCCATTCTATGATTCTATGACATGAACCAAGCACTTACCTTGCAAGTGGCAAGGTGATTTTTTTTTTTTTCTTATTATTTGCAAACTTTTTGCCACTTTCTACATGGGAAAGAGTGTCCAGAAATTTTCCTTAACCTTGTCGTACCACAGCTAATATCCTTCAGACAATAGCTGATCTGAGTACATCATGGAGATAACATGGTTCCAGCCAAAGAGTTGCTTCCAAAGTTAGATGCTATGGGTGTTAAGGAAATTTTGTTTCTATTTGTTTCTATAGCCAGTTTTACATGCAAAAAAAAGATATGCTGTGAAATTAAGGCTGAGGGAGAATGAAAATTCACAAACTATTCCCTTGCAGGAATTGTAAACTCTACAGAAAGGTAGATAAAAGGAAGCAAGACTGATGCTTAATGCATGACGGACAGAAGACTTGGCTTTCATCAGCAGCTTTGACTTGCAGCCATCACAGACGTTTCTGAAGAGATCTTTCGTGGTGTTGGAACGGGCAAGGCACACTGCAAATCTGTAGGGTTAGATACTAGCCCAGTATTTCTATTCAGCAAGATAATGGAGATAACAGAATTTTAAGTAAAGCTCTTTCCTCATAATTTATGTGGTTTTGTAGGAAAAAAAAGCCCTATCCTCCTCAATTTTTGCAGGCAGGACCATAGGATATTGCAACGCTACATATATTTCTAATGTTTACATATAATGTGAGCTGAGAACAGGCTCCAGTTCTCCAGAGGATTTTACAGCTTGATGACATCTTCATTGTTGTTATTACTCATTACAAACAGATTTCTGGGAGTGAGGTCACTCAATGGCAAACCCATGACAAATGCTTCCCAAAACGCATGTCTGGAGAAACCCCATGGATGCAACAAGTTTCTGTAAACAAGAAAGAAACAGAAGAAAATGGCGTTGTTGGGGATTGCAAAACCTGGAACTTTTTCCTTCCCCTGTTTTCTGCTGCATGTCTCACATCTAAAATTATCAAACATCTTTTAAAAACAGCAAATTATTTATCCAGAATTTAACCTCATGTTAAAAACAAACAAACAAACAAAAGAAAACATGATCACATGCAATAATTCCAGTTTTTCCTTTCTTTAGAACTTGAAAAAGAAAATAAAAATTAATGGATGCACCAACCTGAAAAGAACCCATGAGTACTGACTGTGGACAGCAGCACTTGTACCTCTGTTCTGTATTTAGAAGCAGTGGTTTCCAGACAAGCCTTCAGCTCACACAGGTAAAGCACCTTGGTAGAAACAGCTTTGTGCTGGTGTGCCCCCTATTGACATCAAGTTATTTCCTCGAGTTATACTGCCTAAAGGTGTTTCCAATTGGAGTTTCCTTGTGGTATTTGCAGTCTATATTTCTAAAAGCTGAAAGGTCTGACCCAGACCTCCCCAGACATTAAGAATATTTAATTGTTCATTTCTGCTAATGAGGTGCAGAGTTTACATGGTTTTGAATTTTTGTTCTGTTTTCAGGAAAATTTGACAACCTCTTTTCTATTAATAGACACTTCAGATTCTTTTTTTCTAAATAATCTATAAAAGTGTAAATAAAGAAGGTTTTTGTGTCAAACTTTGCAATGCCTCTTTCAGCTTTTACTCCTGATATTGACTCCTGTCCAGCAACAGCTATGTTACACAAAGCTCAGCTTTCTCGATTACAATAACACTTTAATTTCACAAGTACATAGCTGTTTTTGATTACAACAAAATGTGGCATTTTCATCAGCTAAATTGTTATTTGAATGGGGGCAGATAGCCAAATTTGCTTTTCTCGTAAGGTTTTGAGTATTTTTTTTTCCTTTCTTTATTTTGCTAGAGCCTCATATTTTCCTTGGTTTTGTTAAGATGTTTTTATTTTTTTCCCTTTCTTTCTCTCTCTTTCCCCTCCTTCCTTCCTCCCTTCCTTACTTTATTCTATCTTCTTTCTCTCTCCTCTTTTTTATTCTTTTTTGCTTTTTTGCTTTTTATTTCCGAGGGGTTGTGCCACTCAATCTGGAGAAGAGAAGGCTCCAGGGAGATTTTATGGTGGCCTTCCAGTTGAAAGAGGACCTACGAGAAAGCTGGAAATTGACTCTTTTATCAGGGAGGGTAGTAGTAGGACAAGGAATAATGACTGTAAACTAAGTCAGTCATGCTGAAAATAAGGCCTCCTATTCATTTCCATGGAAAATACAACAGCTGCAAAGAACACAGTAACACTATTTGATAAATTCTCAGCTACAAAACATTATTTGTTAACATCGTCACCACAATTAGCTATACATTTTCACCAGTGAGGAGTCTTGAGCTGCACACACAAAAATCTGCACCAGCAGAGATTACCCAGTTTCACAGATGCTAAGATGGTATAGTTGCTAGGAAATTGTTGCTCACATAGTCCATCTTTCATCATCCCAAATAGATGGAAGTCATAAGGCTACCAGTGGATGTGGTAGGACAGTCCAGCCAAGACTGGCAACGTATTCTCATAATTTTTTTCACGGGGTGGTGAGGTACTGGAACAAGTTGTCCAGGGTAGCTCTATTATAATAGCATGCCCTATTCCGTAAGTGTTAGAAGCCAATCTGAATGGATCTTTGACCAATCTGATCTAGGTGATGTTCCTGATCGTGGCAAGGGAGTTGGAATCAGATGATCTTTGAGGTCTCTTCCAACTCAAGTCATTTTGTGATTCCATGGCCTTATGATTCTTTATTTTTTCATTTTTTCATTTTCCTTTGGATGTTGAGTAGGAAAACTCTTGAAAGAAATACCCCTTTTCCATGAACCAGAAAAAAATTAAATTAAGATATCAAAACAAAGTGTAATATGCAACAGACCATATTTATATTTTGTCCATTATACATTGATATTTGATACAGATTCTTTTTATTTTTTCTTACTTTGTTTATTGGTGAAATAGTTATAAATTAAGACACAGAATCATCTGTAAACTTCAAGCTTAAATCTCTCATCTGAAACATCAGGTCTCCCTGGAGGTGTTGTTTGGGGCCCTTTGCTGGCTTGAGAAGAGAAAATTCATTGTTTTGCACTTGAATCACAAACTGAGAGTTAACTCTAAACTCCTAGGAACACAAGACCAGAGACAGGTTTTTCCAATATAAGTATTTAGCTCAATTTGTTTCTAACTCCATTTGTAGTTGCTTTACAGCAATTTCTCAGCAGCTACCTTTTATTTTCTTGATACATCTAGCACCACAATCTCTTATTACCTTACACAGATATAATAGGAACTATTTTGTGGTTTATAGGACACAGAATTTAGACCATATTTGAGAATGAGAGCATATATCCTGCCCTCCACCATTCCACTCTCCCTTCACCCCACCAAAAAAAAACCCAAAAAAACCTAACCACAACAAAAAAACAATCGACAAACACAAACTTGAAATTCCAAACAAAAAACCAAGGCCAAACCAAAACAAGAGCAGCTTGGGAACACTGACCAAATACTACTGTACCTTCAATGAGAGAACGCCTAGAGAGAACTTATTTAATAGAAACACTTAGTAAAGGAAGAATCAGTTAATATCTGGTAAAACAAAGAGAAAGAAAATAGCTTCAGAATACCTACAGTAGAGAGCTTTATGGGCTTGCTCTGTTTAGCTATGAACTATTTTGCTTCTTTTCACAGAGATGTTTTTTGGTCAGTGTCAGTTGTAACTTGCCTCTTTGCTCTCGTTTTCATGACCAGTAGGTTTCATTCACCATTTTTTCTTTCTTTTGCCTATTCAAATAACATTTCCCAATTTCCATTTCTTTCCCAAACAAATTTGAATCCCATACTTACAGAGATTCTATTGGCCATATTATGTTTTCTTCCAGACAACTGGTGGAACAGCATGCTGGGGATAATTGCTTTCCTTCTTCTGCGTCTCTCTCAGTGCTCCCCCTATCACTGCAGAATGTTCTTCTGTCATTTATGTGCTAGAGATGAAACTAGATCTGAATATTTTTCCATGTCTGCTTTGACTTTTTTTTTAACACACAACATAATACAGTAGCAATACTGTACCAAATATGTACTTTAATAAGCTTGTGACTGGAGTTTGTGTTGGAAAACTGCTTTACAGTGGTTGGTAATTTTTTTTTTTCTCAGATGTAAGCTATTTTCTTAGTGACTGGAAGTCAAACATATGTTCTACATCACGGGCCATGTTCACCCTACCCAGTTTCAGGCACTTGACTTGAAGTATCTAATTTAGAGGCTTCCTCACCACAGGAACATTATTGTAGAGATGGAAGATAGCTGGTCTCCTTTCAGATTTGAATTGTACTTGAATATGTCCAATTCATTTAATCAGTTATTATCATGTCTTTCTGAATTCTCTGACTTCCCTGAAAGTGAGATGGTTGATAACGGAATAGATCCCAGAATGGCCATCAGGACCTTCCACTGACTGAGAGAGGAAACAGGAACAATGAAGAGAATGAAAATGGAGGAGAAAGTCTATCTCTGACATCCTATTGTATTCTAGCCAATCTTAAAAGAGTTTGCTAGAAGAAAATAATCTGAGTAAGACTCATGTGAGCCCAAGCAGGATGTATGTTTGACGTTTAAATAATTTTGCCATTACGGAGAACCTGCAGTTTACACCAAACCCTGTGTCAGCAAGGTAAAAACTCACATTCATTTTTTTATATCCTTGAAAATATGCCTGGAATGTCGCTTGGTAACGAGCTCATCCAATGACAATTGTAACAGACTTTTGTGCCTACAGGATTTTTCTGTTGAAAGCGCTAGAATATTAGGACTGTGCTGAAAATAGGGCAGTCCAAATAAAGAAATAAATATGCGTAGTCTACCTGTTGGTACTCTCTCAAAAAAAACCAAAACAAAACAACAAGAACAACAAAAAACAGACAAAAAACCCATAAAAAAATAACAACCAAAAAAACCCCCAGTTCTTGGTTTCCAGGCCTACTTTGCAAAGTGCATCTTGTGTATGACAAACTCTAAAAATATTTTATGCCAAGAAAATTGGAAAAGCAAATGCTAAATATTGTATGTGTATAAGCAATCCTCAGGTATTCCTTGTGTTTTAATATTAATTCAATCATCATAGCTGTGGTGTCTGACCCACCATGATGTTCAGCTATACTCCATTTAAAATGAATGCTTTCTAGTACAAGCCTGAAAGCATGTAGGCCACTTGCTGTTAAGGGAGAGTTGTTTTCTCATGGTTTTCACTTTTCATGTTAAACCTCTCATACAGCATTGCTCTGTGCCATTAATAGTTGCCAAGTTATACCACAGGGAAGGCTGTATTTCAGTGCTGGGTAAAATGATCCCTTTACACAAAAATCTTAAGGAAAGATCTCTTGAGGGAAAAGGAGACATATCAGTTGCTTGGACAATGTAGTCTTCAGTAGAGGTTGAATTGTTGGGGTGCTATACAGTGATGCTTATGAAGTAATAGCATGTTACCCACTGAAAGGTCTCAATCTTACGAGGTGCTGAATGGTCTATCGTTGGTGAATAAGAAATATGGATTTTTTGCAAGTGTCTCTTAAATGCTTGACATATTCCATGAGAGCTCTGAATGCATGTTTCTCAGTAGAGTTTGTTAATCCTTGGCTAATATTTGGGTATAGGTTTCAGCTGTGCCAGCACTAATGGAGTGTTAGGGTATGTGTATGTGTTTGTATGTTGGGGGGGACTGGGGGGTGTGCTGGGTAACAGTTTCCTGACCTAATTTCAGCAAAATGTTCCATCAGTGAAGTCTTTTGGGTGAGGTGACTGCAGAATTGAGAAAAGTTTCCATCCACTGCACTGCTGAGCTTTTGTAGAGAGCCAAGAAAAAGCTGAAAATTGGGAATACTCACAAGCCTGAAATGCATGGGAATCCATATGATCTTCACTAGCTTGAAATTTACATTTTAGCACCCTTAAGTTAGTAAAAATTAAGGTACTGCATGACCAGGAGAAATGAATTGAACTTAAGATTGTCATTACTAGGTAACCAACTCAAAATGTGTGAGAAATGAAGTCATTAGTGACTTCCTCTCTCTAGACATTGGTTGAACGTGAAATACTTAAATATTTTTTTTTTCCCCTTTTATGAAAAGAACCAATGAGAAAATGTTTTATGGATCATGGATCTGCATGGCAGAAATCCTTGTTGCCTTTAAGGAAGTTCATGGTGTTTCTAGTCCATGATGTTGGATGGATGACATCACATGAAACTGTCCCTATTTGAGACCACTTTTAATCCACCACTGTCGGAGACAGGAGCCTGGCATTTTCTGACCACTTTTCTAAGGCATTCAAAATCTCAAAGCAAATCCTAACTGGAGGATCTGAATGTCTGGTCTTGAACCTAGAAGTAGAAGCTGTTTTAAATTTATTTGAAAATAAATCAAGATTCAAACTTAACAGATAAGCCTAGATTCACTGTTGACCTTGAAACAAACCAGACCTGTTTCCAAATTTTACTGTCAGCAGACTTCTGTCCATCTGTCTTAAGAGCCATGGTTATCAGTCCTTTACACCAGGCAGAAAATCTCTCACTTGGGCTAGACTAACGCATTCTGCCTTGCCACCACTTTAAAAGGTGCTTCAAGTGTTACTTTTCAGCCAGGGTGGCATCTGACAAAAAACTTACATCAAGGGAAGTCAATTGTGATGCAGAGGACACTGAGGCCATTCTCATCTCAGCAGCTACCAGGAACACTGTCCAGTTGTTTAGAGTGTTTAAGTGCCTACTAAAATTCTCAATAAGAAGCAAACCAGATAGAAAAGGTGTGAAATGTCTCTGCTCTAACATTGAAAGTTTCACTGTTGGCCTTGTGATCAGCTTAGGCCTGTTTGAAACCATCTGTTTAAGGTCCAGGACCGAATGCAAGACTTTTACAGTAAGATATTCTTCATAACCAGTCTTTTTATGTATTGAAGAGTAGAAGTTAAATGATCTCTAGTGTAGATCAGTGATTTATGTCCTCCATGGTAAAATACATGTCTGTGCCTATAACCATCTCTTGGTTATATGTCTTTTACCCATGTTTTTACCCAACTTTTGACCCATGTTGTCAATTAGGACAGAAGTTTCTGTTTTAGGGAAAAACTAGAAAACAGCTGTTTTAAAACAAAGAAAGAAAAAAAGGAGACTTTCGTTCTTTTATGTGATTTGCATACTGCCTGATGCAGGAATACCTGGAGCATGCATATTGTCAGCATATATAAGCTTGGAACACATATCTGTATTTTCCTTCCCTCTATTTAAGCAGGAATGGCTTATAGAACTTTGCCCCGAAATCTATCTGCACTCACTGTTTCTCTTGTATTTATGAATTCTGCACTGATTTGCCTCACCATGAATTTAGGTAGCAATGTTCTCTCTGCTACCTCCTGCAACAGAAACATTAGGCAAGGACTACCCTTTTCTCATGATGGTGGTAGGCCATGTCTGCATTCAAACTGCAGCAAATTACAGTCCTTTATATGCCACAGAAAAAAAGATTACCCACAAATGTCTAAATCTTGAGTAAGAAATTCTGTGTTGTATAAAACCTCATACATTAGTCAGCATTTTTTCTCCAGTTAATACCTAAACAATCCAAACAAACACCTGGAGGCAGAGCACCTCCTTCCCTATACACCTTCAGTTGTGACAGATGCTGTACAAATACGTAATAGTACAAATCCTTTTCTGCAAGATGACATAGTAAGTGACAAGAGGAAGGACAGAAAGTAGGAATTAATTTTGTAACAACTGCACATAAAGGGAACTGGGTAACCATCATTAAGTGTCTTACCTACCGTTGCTGTCACCAAGCATATCTGAGTTTTACTACTATCCATATAGAACAGCACATTTTATTAGCATTTTTGCCTTTTCTTTGCCCAAGTCATTCATAATAATTTTGCATAAATGCTTATGCATCACTGCCACGTTTAGAAGAACTAATTAGAAATCATGTCCTGCTGGCTTCCAGAGAATAGATGCAGAATAGAAAAAATCTCTGTCACAGTGAGTTTGCAATCAAGCCACCTCTAAGCCACAGGAATAGCAATATTTTATGGTACTATCTAGAGTTCATTCTTGTGCCATTCAGAGTTCATTGAAAACCTCAATTTTTATTCCAGTCAAAGATCCATGGAAAGACAGCTTTATTCACTAAAATCACAAATCAATGCAGCAAGATTTGCATAAGGACAAGTATATAAATCCTGCTTTGCAGTATATTTTTCCTTCTCTTGCACTGCAAATTTTTAAAGAGTCTTGTGTCAGGAAGAGGCAATAGTCTGACAGCACTAGAAAATGAACTCCTTTGTCCTTGTCCTGGAGGACAAGCATAGCCCACACAGGAGCAGTGTGGTCAGCTTTCTCGACTGTGCCCACTCATCTGGCAGCAAGCATTTCAGGAAGAGAGAAGACAACTGGGCTTATATGTTCATTCAGTCATTGGTTCTCTTTCCAGGAGTGCAGTGTTGCCAACTCAGGGTTGAAATACTTGGATACAGCCCTTCTCCTACCACTCTCCCATCCTTTTTTGAAATAAAAAGTTGGGATATGTGTACTTGCAGCCCAAAAAATAGCATTATTCTTGGTTGCATCAAAAGAAGCATGACCAGCAATATGAGGTAGGTCACTGTCCCCCTCCATCCTTTGGGACCCCATCTGGAGTACCGACTCTAGGTCTGGGGTGCCCAGCCAAGGTCATGGAGCTGTTGCAGATCTGAGCTTGTTCAGCCTAGAAAGGAGAAGACCTTGGGGAGACTTCATTGTGACCCTCCTTTACCTAAAGGCCTACAGGAAAGATGAGGAGGGACTCTACTGCGCAGTATAGTGATAGAACAAGGGTAATGATTTTAAGCTAACAGAGGGTAGATTTAGATTACACATTAGGAAGAAATTCTTCACTATGGGGTTGCATAGACACTGAAAAAAGTTGCTCCCTCCTTGTGAATGCTCCCTCTGGAGGTGGAGGTGTTCAAGGCTGGGTTGGATGGGGTTTTGGGCAATCTGGTCTAGCTCACAGTGTCCCTTCACATGGCACGGGTTTGGAACTAGGTGATCTTTAAAGCCCTTTCCAACTCAAATCATTCTAAGATTTTATACTTCTATGATTCTGTGATATATTTAAAATCATCTTCTAATGACAGAGCTTTGGAACAAGTCACAGAGATTGTGGAGTCTCCTTCTCTGGAGATACTCAAAGTATGCCTGGAATGCTTTCTTGTGCAACCTACTTGTAGGTGGGATCTCTCCAGATGTTCCTTCCAACCCCTATGATTTTGATGCAGTGGCTCTGGTTTCTAAGCTTATGGAGTGCATTTTAGTTCCCTTTTCCTCTTTCTGTAGAAATGAAAATAGAAACTTTTTTTATATGCTGAAATTGATAAGTCTCTCTTAATTACATCCTTAAAATAAATTGGGTTTTATGAACAGCCTCAAATTCACAAGAGAATTCTATGAAGACTTTAATGCTGCAGTTGTCATTTCTGATTCAGCACTTTTTTCCCTGAGTTTGACCTGTGGACTGTGATCTATTTTACATAGCTAATTTTAAAAACTGAAATAATTTTTGGTCTTGACAACTTGGGTTGAATTTGAACTAGGAGATGCAAGGCCAGTATTGCACTATCCCACTGCCAGTTTGATTCCTAAAGGAATCGAAGTCATTCAAGTTTTTCCACCTAATTTTGTATTCTATTGCAGCTCACAGAGACATCACTCTGTCCCTTTCTAAAGACCAGCAAAATCAGTTGTCTTGGTCAAAATATATGCAGTTACTGTCTGGATG